TACTATACTATGACTTTTTTTGACTTTTTATGCCATACTATACTATGTCGTTTTTATGACTTTTTATGACTTACCTTACTATGACTTTTTATGCCTTAGTATACTATGTCGTTTTTATGACTTTTTATGCCATACTATACTATGTCGTTTTTATGACTTTTTATGCCATACTATACTATGACTTTTTTTGACTTTTTATGCCATACTATACTATGTCGTTTTTATGACTTTTTATGACTTACCTTACTATGACTTTTTATGCCTTAGTATACTATGTCGTTTTTATGACTTTTTATGCCATACTATACTATGTCGTTTTTATGACTTTTTATGCCATACTATACTATGACTTTTTTTGACTTTTTATGCCATACTATACTATGTCGTTTTTATGACTTTTTATGACTTACCTTACTATGACTTTTTATGCCTTAGTATACTATGACGTTTTTATGACTTTTTATGCCATACTATACTATGTCGTTTTTATGACTTTTTATGCCATACTATACTATGACTTTTTTTGACTTTTTATGCCATACTATACTATGTCGTTTTTATGACTTTTTATGACTTACCTTACTATGACTTTTTATGCCTTAGTATACTATGACGTTTTTATGACTTTTTATGCCATACTATACTATGTCGTTTTTATGACTTTTTATGCCATACTATACTATGACTTTTTTTGACTTTTTATGCCATACTATACTATGTCGTTTTTATGACTTTTTATGACTTACCTTACTATGACTTTTTATGCCTTACTATACTATGTCGTTTTTATGACTTTTTATGCCATACTATACTATGACTTTTTATGACTTACCATACTTTGACTTTTTATGCCTTAGTATACTATGACGTTTTTATGACTTTTTATGACTTACCATACTTTGACTTTTTATGCCTTAGTATACTATGACGTTTTTATGACTTTTTATGCCATACTATACTATGTCGTTTTTATGACTTTTTATGCCATACTATACTATGACTTTTTTTGACTTTTTATGCCTTAGTATACTTTGTCGTTTTTATGATTTTTTATGACTTACCTTACTATGACTTTTTATGCCTTAGTATACTATGTCGTTTTTATGACTTTTTATGCCATACTATACTATGTCGTTTTCATGATTTTTTATGCCATACTATACTATGTCGTTTTTATGACTTTTTATGCCATAGTATACTATGTCGTTTTTTGACTTTTTATGCCATACTATACTATGACTTTTTTTGACTTTTTATGCCTTAGTATACTATGGCGTTTTTATGACTTTTTATGACTTACCATACTATGACATTTTAATGCCTTACTACATAATAATTTTTTTATTACTTTTTATGTCTTACTATACCATGACGCTTTTCACTTTTGCATGCCTAAATATAATATGACGTTTTCATGACTATTTATTTCCCAGTATACCATAACCTTTTTTTCACTATTTATGTCTGATTATACTTTGATGTTTTAAAATATTTTACGCGTTATCATACTGTTAAGCCCAGCTCATTTAGGAACAAAACCAAGAATGGAGGTCCAGACAGTAACCATTTAAAGAAACCAAATTTATTGAGGATAACTCACTTAACTCAACCAACCTAGAAAACATGAAGTCAGTAGTGTAGTGTAGGTGTTGGGTGCTAGGAAAATGAAAGCCAACTTAAACTACATGTAGAAGAACACAGGCCTGAAACACAACATACAACAAACAAAATCACATTGGCCACCTGAACGGCGCCAGCGTTCCAGGAGGGCTGAGAGAGAGAGGCCATCTTGAATATCCCAGCTTAAATAGGCTCCATTCAGGTAAAGTCAGACAGGAAGTACCTGAAAAAACACACATAAAACAGGAACAGGCCAAAACAAAGTATGGTCATATGGTCCAGGGCCATCACAATACTATCACATTTTTATGACTATTTATGGCCTACGACGCTTTTATGCCTCACTATACTGTGACATTTTTTGACATTTTTATGCCTTACAAAAGTTGATGTTTTCATGACTTTTTATGCCTGATGTACAATAATTGTTTTATGTCTCAATATACTGATAAATTTTTTTGACAGTTTCATGCCTTATGATACTATGACGTTTTTTTTTACTTTTTATGCCTGACTATACTATGACGTTTTTATATTTCATGCTTTATTGAACTATTACGTTTTCATGACTTTTCATGCCTTACTATACTATGAAATTTTTATGACATTCTATGCCTTACTATACAATGTCTTTTTTTTGCCTTACTATACTATGTCGTTTTTATAATTTCTTATGCATTATTATACTATCATGTTTTTATGACATTTAATGCCTTACTATACTATGACGTTATTTGACATTTTAATACCTTACTATAGTATGACATTTTTATGACTTTTTATGCCTTACCATACTATGATGTTTTTATGACTTTTTATGCCATAGTATACTATGTCGTTTTTATGACTTTTTATGACTTACTATACTGAGTTTTTATGACTTTCTTTTTCTTACTATACTATGATGTTTTTATCATTTTTCATGCCTTACTATACTATGACGCTTTTATGACATTTTAAGCCTTACTTTACATGACATTTTTATGACTTTTTATGCCTTACCATACTATGATGTTTTTATGACGTTTTTATTACTTTTTATGCCATACTATACTATGTCGTTTTTATGACTTTTTATGCCATACTATACTATGTCGTTTTTATGACTTTTTATGCCATACTATACTATGTCGTTTTTATGACTTTTTATGCCATACTATACTATGTCGTTTTTATGACTTTTTATGCCATACTATACTATGTCGTTTTTATGACTTTTTATGCCATACTATACTATGTCGTTTTTATGACTTTTTATGCCATACTATACTATGTCGTTTTTATGACTTTTTATGCCATACTATACTATGTCGTTTTTATGACTTTTTATGCCATACTATACTATGTCGTTTTTATGACTTTTTATGCCATACTATACTATGTCGTTTTTATGACTTTTTATGCCATACTATACTATGTCGTTTTTATGACTTTTTATGCCATACTATACTATGTCGTTTTTATGACTTTTTATGCCATACTATACTATGTCGTTTTTATGACTTTTTATGCCATACTATACTATGTCGTTTTTATGACTTTTTATGCCATACTATACTATGTCGTTTTTATGACTTTTTATGCCATACTATACTATGTCGTTTTTATGACTTTTTATGCCATACTATACTATGTCGTTTTTATGACTTTTTATGCCATACTATACTATGTCGTTTTTATGACTTTTTATGCCATACTATACTATGTCGTTTTTATGACTTTTTATGCCATACTATACTATGTCGTTTTTATGACTTTTTATGCCATACTATACTATGTCGTTTTTATGACTTTTTATGCCATACTATACTATGTCGTTTTTATGACTTTTTATGCCATACTATACTATGTCGTTTTTATGACTTTTTATGCCATACTATACTATGTCGTTTTTATGACTTTTTATGCCATACTATACTATGTCGTTTTTATGACTTTTTATGCCATACTATACTATGTCGTTTTTATGACTTTTTATGCCATACTATACTATGTCGTTTTTATGACTTTTTATGCCATACTATACTATGTCGTTTTTATGACTTTTTATGCCATACTATACTATGTCGTTTTTATGACTTTTTATGCCATACTATACTATGTCGTTTTTATGACTTTTTATGCCATACTATACTATGTCGTTTTTATGACTTTTTATGCCATACTATACTATGTCGTTTTTATGACTTTTTATGCCATACTATACTATGTCGTTTTTATGACTTTTTATGCCATACTATACTATGTCGTTTTTATGACTTTTTATGCCATACTATACTATGTCGTTTTTATGACTTTTTATGCCATACTATACTATGTCGTTTTTATGACTTTTTATGCCATACTATACTATGTCGTTTTTATGACTTTTTATGCCATACTATACTATGTCGTTTTTATGACTTTTTATGACTTACTATACTGAGTTTTTATGACTTTCTTCTTCTTACTATACTATGATGTTTTTATCATTTTTCACGCCTTACTATACTATGACGCTTTTATGACATTTTAAGCCTTACTTTACATGACATTTTTATGACTTTTTATGCCTTACCATACTATGATGTTTTTATGACGTTTTTATTACTTTTTATGCCTTAATATACTGTGACGTTTTATGACTTTTTATGCCTTACTGTACTATGACGTTTTTATTACTTTTTATGCCATACTATACTATGTCGTTTTTATGACTTTTTATGACTTACTATACTATGAGTTTTTATGACTTTCTTTTCCTTACTATACTATGATGTTTTTATCATTTTTCATGCCTTACTATACTATGACGCTTTTATGACATTTTAAGCCTTACTTTACATGATGTTTTTTGACATTTTAATGCCTTACTATACTATGATGTTTCATGACATTTTATGCCTTACTACACTATGTTGTTTTTATGACTTTTTATGCCTTACTATAATATGTTATTTTTATGACTTTTTATGCCTTACTATACTATGATGTCTTTATGAGTTTTTATGCCTGACTATACTATGATGTTTTTTGACCTTTTTATGCCTTCCTATACTATGACGTTTTTATGATTTTTTATGACTTACTATACTGTGACGTTTTTGACGTTTTTGCGCCTTCCTATACCTTTACTTTTTATTCCTTACTATACTATGACGTTTTTATGCCTTACTATACCATGACATTTTTATGCTTTACTATACCATAACGATTTTATGACTTACTATACTCTACATTCTATACTATACATTCTTATTAAAATTATATATCAAAATCAAATTGCAACTGCAATGTACTGTAGATGTGTTACAATATAGAAATTTACGAGAAAACATTTACGAATTGAACGCCTCACCGTCGCTCTTTTTACGTCATTAGAGCGTGACTGTTTACGTCGAGCGTGGCATGATGCTTCTGAGTGATTGTCAGTTGTAGGAACTTTCCACCAGTTTTGCTGGAACTTTGGGGAGGATGACCATGGATATGACTTTCCTCGGGACCGGCTCGGCCTACCCGTCTCCTCACCGCGGTGCCTCGGCTCTGGTGCTGCGGACGGAGGGGGAATGCTGGCTGTTTGACTGCGGAGAGGGAACCCAAACACAGCTGATGAGGAGCCCGCTCAGAGCCGGTGAGTCACTCAATGTAGCTTCTCGTGCAGGCTGCCACATTTAAACATTTTTAAAATAAAGTCTTTAAAGTACTTGAAAAACACTATAAACCACTTTAATAAACGTGAATGAACTCTTCAGGCTTCTGCTATTGCCTCTCCAAGTACAATATGTATGTCATTCAAAAGTTCACTTAATTTTAGGATAATTTCAGAATTTGTTTTATATAAGTTCAAACACATGAAAAAGGTAAATAGAGTAATCAGAGTATTTGTAACTTTTGTAAGTATTCTGTAAATTTAAATTGCTTTTGCTATGATTTCTTGACCCTGAACTTTTTTGATTCCATGTGAATTTTTAACATTATGACATATTATTATATCATTGGCAAACAATATATGTCTGATCTGATAAGTGTAAGGCCTTTTGGCCTTCTTTATTTGTTGTATTTCACATTAGCATGTATTTTACCACTCTAGTTTATTTAACTTTATTCAGGCATAATCAAGTCAGACAAATTGTCCCTTGCTCTCTCAACATTCCTATGATAACACCTGTAGGATGTAATAATACGTCATGTTTTCTACCCAGGTCGAATCACCAAGGTTTTCATCTCCCACTTGCATGGAGATCACCTGTTTGGTCTGCCTGGTCTCCTTTGCACTGTGAGTCTCAACACCAACCCTGACCCACAGCAGAACCTCAACTGTGTGGACATCTATGGGCCTCGGGGGCTCCGGCACTTTCTCAGGGTTACACTTGGCCTCACAGGGTCTCAGCTGCTCTTCCCTTATGCAGGCAGGTCCAAAATATACAGAATATATTCAATAAAAAAATATACAATAGCTATATACCCTGAAAAGTAGACACCCTCTGGTTTAGTAGTAAGACAATTTAGCCTTCTTTATTTGCTATATTGTTTCCCAGTATTACCACCATTTAACTTTTACTTTTTTACTCTAACATTCTCTGCTCTGATCTTACCTATACTGTGCATGTTGCTGTAGTACATGAGCTGGAGCCCACCCCTGAACAGAGTCCGGAAGAGGGACAGCTCAGTCTGGAGGTATGTGACTGGTTGTGTGTTGTGAAAAATCATACTTCACCTTTCTTTATAGTGCAAAACACTATAAAGGCACTGGGCCAGTCTGTTGTTTTGTGATATATTGATTAGTAGCAGCCTCTTCTGGAATATGTCATTCTGATCATTGTTAATGATTCTAAATACTTTATAACTGCCTTTCTTTATAACTCCCCTCCAAAACAAGTAACTTTTTACTCAGCTTTTGTTTAAGCCCAAAACACCACACCCAACACAGCTCAAACAAGCATGGATTCTGTTTCAGTTAATGAAATTAATTTGATTTGTTAATAATTCTGACTGGTTATGAAACATTTTTTGTAAGCCCAAAGGAGATTTTCTTACCTATTTTGTGTTGTTTTGTGTTGTTTACTGATGGGAGTTTTCTCTCTTCAGATGACAGCAGAGTGTGGTCCTCCACACCCACAGGAGAGACCAGGCAGGACAATCTCCCTGGATGTCTCCAGTGACTGTTACATCCTCTTTGAAGACAAGAAGTTTGTGGTCAAAGCCTTCAGGTTGTTCCACCGCATCCCTTCCTTTGGTTTTTGTGTTCAGGAGCATGATCGTCCCGGAAGACTGAAAACTGAACTACTGAAGGAACTGGGTAAAAATCAAATTTTTTTTTTTATTGGAATATTTGTATAAAAAGACAAAAAAGGAAAAATTCACAGCTGTTCAGTACCAGTTACATATTGGAGGTGGTTATTGGAGGTGGTTTAAGGTTGAGTTCAGTATCACTAGTCCGATGAATTTATGTGGAATTACAAAAAAAACATTTTACAGTATATGAGGCGCAGATCAGAAATGGTTCATTATATATATATATATATATATATATATATATTTATGGACATTATATCCATAGTTGTAATTTTGATTTTTTTTTAAAACCATCAATATAGTTTCCAAGCAGGTAATGTGGGAGAAAAGATTTTAACATACGAATGAAAAATATAAATTGTGTATATGTTTGGCATTGTATAGTAGTTTTATCAGTTGAGAACTGCATAGTTTTATTTAATTGACTTCATTCTAATTCTGTTGTAAAATAATTTGAAGGTCTTGTGTTTCAGGAGTCTAAATTTCACATACTACATAAGAAAAGTGTCCTCCAAATGGTACATGTGGATTAATGTGACTGGTCTCATTTTGTGTCCCTCAGGGCTGAAACCAGGGCCTCTCTATGGCCGTCTCAAAGCTGGAGAGTCTGTAACTTTGGAGAGCGGGCGTGTTGTTCTCCCTAGTGAGGTCCTGGAAGAAACCATTCCAGGGAGGAAAGTCTGCATTTTAGGGGACTGTAGCTCAGTTCTGGGAGAAGGACCACTGAGTTTGTGCAACGGAGCGGACATTCTGGTTCATGAGGCGACTCTGGGGAACGAGCACCGGGAGAAAGCAGTGGACCACGGACACAGTACACCTGATATGGCGGCAGCGGTGGCTCGGGCTTGCTGTGTGCGGAAATTGGTGCTGTACCACTTCAGTCAGAGGTACAAACCCAGCTCCCTGCAGACGGAAGGAGACGAGGACGATGTCTCAGAGCTCAAGAGACAGGCTGAAGAAGCGCTACAGGACAGTGGTGTAGAAGTGACTCTGGCTGAAGACTTTCTGACTTTGCCCATTCCTCTGAGAAGACCAAGGTAATGAAAAACCAGTTGTTAGCACTCAAAGGCAGTCATTTTTACCATCCTGTGATTTTCAAATTACATATACAGAAAATACATTTTCTTGTTCCACACTTAATGTTTTTGGCAATTTAAGATTTTTATTGCGCTTTTTATCAAAAAACCCTGAATTAGTCAAACATGACAAAATAAAAAATGTCAGCTTAAGGTTCACTTACCTGCTTGTTCTGGAGCTTTTGGCCATATCAGACACTTCCATCAGCAGCTGGAGTTTGCCTAGTTATCACGGAAATATAAATTCATATTATTGTTCACGTTGTCGTTAATCATGACAGGTTATTCTTGACCTTCAACAGCAGATGTACCGTTCTCCAGTTCTCCAACAAAATTTCAATTCAATTTAAATACTAGAAATCACATTGAAATTGTATGAATAATTATGAGTCATTTCTGTCAGTAATGTATAACCACAATATAACTCAACACTGAAACCACATCTTTCCATATGAATCAATCAGCTTAACTCTTCTGTGTAATGATAAATAACAAACATGCAATCATCTCTGAACCTTTTCCAGAGCTTTATTTCTGGATCTGTACACAAGGTATTAAAGTACAACAGAAAATACAAAATAATGTTTAACAAAAGAAAAAAAAAAAAACAACTCAATGCTTATGTACAATTCTTATAAACAATAAAGATAGCTTCTTGAACATTTCTCATAGTGAAGTTTTTGATTGTCTATATTTCTGGATATACATTTTTAAGTTTTGTAGGTTTTTATTCACAAAGGTGTTTTTGTTTTCATCAAAGGAGTCGAGTTTTCTTTTTCAAAACAACTGCTATAATTTTTTTTCCTTTTTAAACTTCAAAACACAATACAAAATATAAAATAAATTTGTTTAGTGCTTGCTTGCACACACAAGTCTCATACCAGAGATATCAATAAAATATCACATTTTTGAAAGTTCACAGGGTGGTGAAAAACCTACTTCTACTACTTAATGGCCTTTACATTCTGACAGTTTTTCTGAGTCTTTGTACAAACCACAGGTGAAATAAATATCACTGCACTGCTAAAGCTAGAAGAGCTTGGAGGACCTACTGCATTATGCACATTGCATTAAAAGAGAAACGAGCTCTCCACATACTTAGAGCAGCAGCCATCCCTTTACCATCAAGACAGATAGACGACGACATGTAAAAAGTTTTTTTTTTGAGGAAAGAAAGATGATCGTCTTTTACACATGGCTGCAAGTTTCGAATGCAAAATTGCAACACTGAGTAATATCAATACGTCTTAGGGTAAAGCCGTTTTCAGTGGTACACTTGAGAAAGGAACACAGCTGGCATGCGTGGTTTCAGCTGTGTCCTGGTGTGTGGGTATCATGACTTTCCAAAGAGAAAAAAGAAAATTCAAACACCAAGTCAACCGGTAAAATGCGAAACTCAAAATATCTGTACATATCTACAAATTATTGCCTTTTTGACAAGGAATCAAATTAAAACCTTTGTATCAACACAGATTCACAAGTGTAAGAGGTCAGTTAATAGACTTTTTAAAGGCTATTTGCTAATTATTTACATGAAACGCAGAAGTGAATATCTTCTCTGATGCTGGGCTTGGAAACTGAATTACTTGATCGAACTTAATGATTTAGAGGCATGAATCCCGTCTGTACATACATAATGGTGAAATACAAGATCTATGGACATGACAAAGATGAACCCCTGAAACAAACTAATTATTCATAGCACAATGCATAGATAAATTAAGTAAACACTACTACTGCATCCAATCAACTGACAATGACCCGCTAAACATTTTACAGTTCACAATTACGGACTCAAGTCAAGATGAAACCGCTCCATTTCTGCTACCACACTCCAAGAAATTGTCGACCAGATTATACAAGGCATTCTCTACTCAGTACAGGCTAGGCTGTGAGGTTGAACACAAAATCAGAGTGGCTTTAAATAAAGAGATAATACTGCTAGCTGGCTTACCTTAGCTTGCTAAGTGGTCTGAAAATGGCGCTACTTAATTTAGGAACATATTCTAACATCTACAACTATTAACTAAAGAACATATACAGCTAAACTTGTCCAAGTGTAGCATGAGTGAAAGCTTAAAGCTTAAAGGATTAAACAAAATCTCACAAAAGGTAAAAGTATATGCAATAAATACATACTTTAGTGTGTCACTTGATGTCTATGTTTAAATGGCTATTAACCCAACCAATATCTTTGCAATATTGCTGCTATGGTTTGCTTGTCTGCCTGATAGCACAAAAAAGCAAGATAAAAAAAAAAAAACTTCAGATCTGTCAGTAAAATAAGTTGACTCCCATCATGTTACTCTGCAAACATATTCTTAATCACCCGTTTAAAAATGTAATAGAAAAAATGTGAATCAGGGACTATAATTTGGGTATGCTTAAATGCGATAAAAATGAACTGTTGCAAACATTCAAATGTTCCAGTTTGGCCACTTTGAACAGTTTAAAAGTAAACAAGCAGACAAACTACAGACAAGCTTCCACAGGAGAAAACTAAAAAAAAAGAACCAAATTGGAAGGCTTCAGCAGCTGAAGCCACCACTTCCTGGACTTCAAGCTAATCTCCATGCTAGTGTTGCTCTTCATACAATATCTAGCCAGGTTTATTTGAAGACAAATAAAACCATTTGCACTAGTCTGGTTACTGAAAAGTACCTGTAAACCAAACACTAATTAAAAAAAAAAAAGAAAAAGAAAAAGTACCACTTCAAATTACAAAAGACAGGCAACTAAATACTAACACTAACGGCAGAAAACTAAGCCAGTTTTGGCAGCTGAAAAGAATGGCAGGATAACATACGGTAGCTCCGAAGATGTTGTGTGTAGATGTAAGGGAGGAAGATACACAACTCTCCTACTGCAGCCTCTGGGCCCCACTGTACATGGACGTTACACATCTCAAGACCGCATAAAATAAAATAAAATAAATGGCTATATAAACTCTTGAGAGAAATCAAGATTTTAGTTCTATATGATAGACATCACTGATGTCATATTACACAAAAAATGAAAACAAAAAAGTATATTCATATACACACACACATATATATATATATATATATATGTATATGTATATATATATATATATAATAGAATTTAAACAAATCAGATTCTCCAGTGAGGTCAGTCTTATGTACAAGTGGGATAAGGGATTTCAAAAGGGAAGAACAAGGGAAGAAGACGAAGATCACTCTGACTGAAGTGCTGCAGTGTGCTGTGTGTGGTGCCGTGCATGTGCTCCCAGAAATCCATTGGGCTCGCCACTGCCAGCCAAGCTCCCAAAGTCTGTGACAGACACTGCCATTTTGGCGCCAGTAATTCGGTGGTGGTGTGTTGTTGTCCTTCGTGCTTCGAAGTCCACTCCAAGGTTACCCACAGACACATCATTGATAAAGGAGTCAGGCAGTGCCATCTTGAGTCTCTTGGAGGGCCGCTCGCAGTCCTTGTTGACACACACTCCTCCTAGCTGGCCCAGGTCAGAGTGGTAGAAGCCCGCGTCGAGCATGTTGAGGCAGTCGGGGTCTGCACCATTGGAAGGGAACCCAAGCGATTCGTCATGGTTTAGGGACCCACGATGGAGGCTTTCCAGTGGAGGAAAGCTGTAGGAGTCGAGGCAACTAACCTCTGCGGGGCTGCACACTGTGGCTACACTGTTACTCAAAGCTGCAAGGAGACAGGAAACTCAATTAACATGAGTAACTGAGACTCGGAAAAAAACATTGATTGACAAATAAGAAAAATAAATGCAACAGTTATCTATGATGTTATCAAGTATTTTTATCCTAAGTTTTTCCATAGTTGCAAAACTTGGTCCCATTACTAACCTGTGAGGTCACTGGCAGTGATGGAGTTGAGGAGGCTGAGCTGTTGGTCTGTAGTAGTCTCCATCCTTCCTCCTCCACCTGCTCCTGAACACACAGAGGAGGAACTGTCCACTGCCAGTCCCTCTGCCTCATCCACCAGCCTGTCCATCAGGTCACTGAACACAAAGAAACACGTTTAATTGCAAGTGGATTTGTTTCTTCCAAATTAAGTGCACTTTTTTCCATTTTTTCAAAGCTCATTGTATTAAACATAAGCTAAAACACAAAAGGAATGCAAACAGATAAGGTAAATCTTCACTGCCACTTACGTTACACCAGGATAGCTGCTGTATTTTTTCTTCCCAAACCGATTCTGCTGCACAAAGAAGTCAAAGCGCTCTGACTTCTTCCACATATAATAAAATGCCACACATTCTGCTACCGTTCGTGTTGTGACCTGAGGAGAAAAAAGTCATTAAAGGGAATGAGAAACTTTCACAGCTTTATATGTATCTATATGCATCTTTCCATGTCTGTTCAAGAAATCATGTAATAAGACTCACTTTGTGTTTCTGTATGAGGTGAAAGTTTTTGTCATACATCTGTAGTGCATGTTCAAAGTTCTTGCATTCTTCTTCTGACCACGGAGGTGATTTTTCTGCAATGAAACCAGAAAAAACATTTATATATTGTTGGTGCAATCAGGTGATCTATGTGTAAACAAAAGGATGAACCCACCAATCAACTAAATCTTTTCATCATTGCCAAATTGACTGAGAGGTCTTTGACCACCTTATTCTAATTGATTTATCCTTACTGTGTTACTTGTGTTACAAGGGGGATTATACAGTTTCCCAGTAGGACGGGACATTCATGCTGATATAGAAACTTCACCGACTCGGATTTTACAGTTTAGACTGCAGTCACATTGCCATGAACCTATTATGTATCAGATTCAGATATGAATATATTAATGTGATCCAAATAAGAATAGAAATAAGAAATTACTCCATGAGACTTCATCTTAAAAATAGGATTGTTGTCAGTCACATTTAACTTCCTTTCTGAATTCAAATATTAATTTACAAATGTATTTTACTTGGATTTAATTATTTTTTCCTCTTTCCTTAAGGTGTTCTTTAAAAGATGTGTCATGAAAATCTTCTGTACTTAATATAAAAATCCTGACTTCCTCCATCTGCCTGCTCATATGCAACCGACAAATTCTGAAAACTAATAACTGGATGGGCCCGACGCTTCCTGTGGACATTCTTGATCCAACAGAAGAATAACTATTGATTTTTGAAAAACCTCATAAACTTCACCCAGCAGCTATGTTGTCATCTACCCAGTAAAATGGTGACTGTCAAGTTTGGAAGTCTATATTCTTTTCATTCTGTTATATCACAACTGTATTAATGCCATAGGACCCTTGAAAATGTTATATGTTAATGTTATTATCCCATCAGAGAATCATGTTTGGCAATTTCTGCTGTGTTGAAGCCATTATCATTCTTTTTGATAGGGCTGGCAGCCCACAGTATTAACTGTGATCAAAGTACCAAGGACATTTGCCTCATGTCAGAAATGACAGTTTCACACAGCAGGCATGTAGGACCTGTTTCTTTGCTTACCTTTTGAAGACTTTACGTGGCTGCAGTATCTCTCTAGTGCTTCACGGGTGTTGTAGTTGCACTTGACAAGCTCATGCAAAGCCTATGTGGAAAGAGTGGAGTGGTCAAAAATGGAATATTGTTAATAACAAGTTAATAACATTTACCTTAAAAACAAATAATCTGAAGAAATCAGAAATAATGGTAAGAATTCAAAGTTAAATTGATACAACATGTGGTAAAAAATAATTTAAAAAATATACATTGACTGCATAAGCTCACACACATTGTTAATATCACACTCATCACTGTGTTAATACATGAACGGTTTGATAAATAAAGACATGACTGACCTGCTCATTGTCTCGAACATGCATCCCTGGTTTGTCACATCCTGTCTTTTCATCCGTGGTCCGTGACAATACTTCTGACAGAAAACTCCTCACCTTGTTTTCTGGCAATGTACCTGGGCTCCATAATAACTCATCTTCATCTTCATACACTGCATAAAAAAGTACATTACAGAAAGATTAGTCACTTTGCGTATCTCGTCTTTGCTTGTACGGACAGAAACGTTGCAAAAAAATTAAAGAACATTTTAGGCACACATGCGGTAGTCACCTTTCTCCCCATCTTTGTAGTGACAGAGGCAAGAAGGAACCTCTGCTTGGTACTGTGTTCCCACCATTATTTCCTTTAATAAAAAAAAATTAAAAGACAATGCAGACCATGTTTTAAACCAAGAAAAAAAAAAAAGTACACATTCAGCTTAATATATGAAGTAAACTTAATGTGTTTACTTAGAGTGTTCCAAAAATTAGATGTGTCATTTACCTTTCTAGAGTCCTCTGGGCTTGGGCCATCTTCATCACACTCTGACTCTTTATCGCCATCGGAGATGGCGTTGGCTGACAAGATAAACAACAACAAAAGATAAATACCTTGACACACAATGAATTCCAGTAGCATGCCTCAGGCTGGGTGCTATGGCCTGATGCTTTAAAGTTTTCCTCCAGGCACATTTTAAACTATGTAAAATTGCTCTGATTAATAGTTTGTTTAACATAGTAAAAACTAAAAGAAAAAAACCCTGAAAAGGGGCTGGAAGCACATCTATGCTTACAATGCGTATCAGGATGGTTAGTTTGGGAAAGAATGGAGAGATTCAGCCACGTAACAAACGTATCAGAACGTAAGCGTAGTTAGCATATTTTATTTGTTTATGTTGTTTGTAACTTGTAACTGACCGTGTTAGTGGCTGGGCTAATGCAAACTTTCGCTCTTGGTACTGAGAAGTTTCGGGTTTCTTTTGGCCACCCCCCATCCCCGCAAATTAACAGGATTGGTCCCTTAGGTTTGCGACTTGTGAAACCCTGGCTGTCTATGTTTTTGTTTTTTTGTTTTTTATAACGTCATTAGTACAGTACGGTTCTTGCTTATTTCACGCATGATACGTCTTGTATCATATATATGTATATATATATATATATATATATACATACATATACATATACACACACATACATATACACCATGTGGACATGGTAACAACATTTAAAATTTGATTTTTGTTAGAGGGGGTCTTTAACTATCAAATTTGATACTGTAATAAGTGGTCTTGCCATTGTCTGTACTGCAATAAAAATGCCTGACACATGAATACACTTACATCTCTCACTTAAATATGGCGCAACAAAGTCAGCATAGTAAAATTGGATGTAGCACTAAGAAGGGATCGGCAACTTAAAAAAAAAAAGTATCAGACTTAATCTTGCTCATCTCGGTTAATTCGATTATTATTTGTGTACGCTTAGGGTGCATTCATTAATTGCCCCTTGTTCATTCACCTCCCTCCGCCCCATCCAGTTAACGTTAGTCCATGTTCACTCAATACGGATGACATGAGTGCAAACACTGAGCCTCAACCCAAATATCTTATACCTAAAAAGAATGTCTGTCATTTGGGCACATTTTGGCTTTAGTTAAGACAACACTGAAACACAAAATACGATCATATGTTACTAATTCTAATATTTGTATTCATGTCTTGAATCTTGAGTAATTTTTCTTATTTTTTAATTAGGTACTGCATTACAAGATTTAAACCTGCACAGCTACAGAACATTTTTAGAATGTGTAACCTATCACTTACATCGAAGTGTTCTTGGAAAGAAATCTGTGGCTTCATGGGAGGTGACTGAAGGGGTAAGATCATCAGCTGAGGACTGGGTCTCCTCCTCATAGTCTCCAGACAGCAGGTCTTTAGCTATTTCCTCCTAGGGAGAAAGAGTAATATCCACTGTATGAGACAGACCAAGGGTGAGCAATAGAATATCCAAATTAGATATTGAGGATAAATGCATTTACTTCTCATAATTTCTACCATACATCATCACATCACAGTAGCAGATATTTACCTTGTCCAAAGTCATGTCAGGCAGCTCATCAGTAAGATCTCCAGAGGAGCTGTCTATACTGGAGCCTGCTGAGGCCTCATAGCGATAGATGGCCAATAATTCTTCCAAAGGCATATTTCCCTCCTGTTGGGGGTGAGGGGCAAACTTAGTACTTCATAAATTTAGTAAACTTATGCATTTCCCCTTTCCTATCTAAATTACAATACAACATTCAGATTGGAAAAAAATGTACACATTTCACCTAATTGATGCTCTGTAGGTATAGAACTGCTCAGACAATTTTTGTTGTTGTTGTTTTTTTAATCTAATCTCAGTTACGACATAGTGATTTATCTAGTTTTATTTATTTGATTTTTTTTTAAAGGGGCTTGAAACTAGAGTGTATAGCTATTGTAAATTCTCGACTTCTGTCCCTAATTGGGCTTTAGGTGTATAATGTAATTAAAACAGTCAATAACAAAAACAACACAAAACAGACAACAAACTTCAACCAGCAGACAACTTTTGAGTGCCACTAACAGAATGGATGTGTACTTAAATTTGGTAAACCTTTATTAATTTTAGCATCTGCAGCAATGAATCAGACAGCTTCCCCTTATAATAATAGAGGTTGCACCAGCAATTGTAATAGTCTTACAATATTAACCCTTTTTTCCCAGTGACACCACAACATCAATATTTACAGCCTTACTGCACTAAGAAGATGGTGCTCTCTTCCACATTAATGATACATGCATCACTTTTACATGCACAAATACTGATTTGATTACTTAAAATCACATTCATTACATTTACACAGGTAAATCATGTTTTGTAGGATTTTGTGCATTTAGTGGCTCACCTTTTCCAGATCTGCAATCTCAGAGCTGAAATTCCTTCCTCCATCCAGAGACTCTTCCTCCTCCAAAGTCCTCTCATCATCATACTCATGAACTAACATTTCTGCTGTTGGATCAAAGTCATGGTCCTCTGATGATAAAGAGCCAACTGAGTGAAAAGAGAGAAAAAAGAATCATGAATGTCTCAGTCTTATTAGACAAATGAGAAATAAAAATGATAAATTCAGTTACTATATTACAATTATAATTAGTCATTTTCACAAAAAAGATGCATTGTACTATGTGCAAAGAATATAATTTCATCTTGGCATTGCTGCAATGCAAAATTACTTCATTAAAATACAAATAAAGTTAACTAAGTACGTTTTAAAGTGTAGATACTTCTATTAAGTTTATGGCGGAGGCTTTCTTACCTGGACTTGAACTCCCTAGGGAAGCCTGCAAAAGAACAAAACCAAAGCATTAATGAATGCAATAGTTGAACTATGGGTCCAACTGTAATGGAGACGCTTTAACACGGGATATCAAAATCAGGCAAAGTTAGAGAAATGCTTTCATGGGACTGCATAATGACCACAGAAAATAGTTGGGCAGGATTTACCGCTAACGTTACCTGAAATAGGTAGCTAATATGTTAGTCGCGAATGAACGCTACATGTTGAGGACAACTGTGAACAAAATGTAGTTTTAAACCGCGGGTTTAAAATGTTTCCTTTCGTTTCGATAGGAGTAAAATATATATTTACAGGGAGACTGTAGGGTTTATGCAGAGTCGGCTCCTGTAACAGTTAGCTAGCCACCAAGCTAACCCTACTGTTAACGTTATCCATCGAAAAATGTAAACACTAATTTCGTTTGCGCGGCACTGCAATCGATAGAGTTGGATTATCTTTACGATATAGGTGTCGCTTATCAAGACGAAATAGAAAAAATAAAAATCAATTCATCACAAACACGGTATAATCTATTATTTCCTTTAACCAGCAAGCTAACGTTAAATTTACGTTATCAATTTACACAGCCGCTACACCAAAGCAGCTGAGAGAGCGAAGGCGCAGCGGCCTTGTAGTGAAGGATCAGTCCAGACATTCAAGCATATTTTAGAAGAATAAAAATAACATTTATGACACGAAACACGCTATATAGCAGGCAAAAAGCATTGTTTCTTCAATCGATAATATAAAAACGAAAAATACAACACACAAATTTTAAAAATATCGATTTAAGATCGATTGCTTCTCCCCTGTTTTCCCTCTTACCTCCGCCATATTGGTACCTTTAGCTAATGGGCTCGATCTAGCGCAGTACCCGGATCAGCGCTCTGAGCCAATCAGAGATCCAGGTGACCGTTCTAGTCGTGACGCCGTTCAAACCAACCATCCGACTAACAGTACTCATTAATACACGGTAAATCTACGGTGTGAAAATAAAAAAATATATACAAATATAACGATAAAATCACCAGTACATATACAATATATATCAGCAGCATGGCGTTAAGTGGACATTTCGCCAGAACATTCCTAGGAACATCCCAGCGGATTTCATGTTCTTCCCAATACTGTTTATCGCAGCGGTCGTAGCTGTAGTATTTTTTTTTTTTTTTACAGCTCTGTATTTCCACCATTAACATTTTTGTCACTATATGTTAGAACCTGTAATCGTGGTCCCACTGCCTTTAAATGGAGGTAGTGCGGGCTTTTAGTTGTATCTTGTCATAGGTGAGCAATGTGTTGTATTATTTTGTTTTGGCTGGTCCATAATACTAATATTAATACTAATACCCAATACTAATAGTCCTACTAATAATACTGAAGTTTATTTTAAGAAAAGTAATATGAATGACAAATCACCTATGGAGCAGAAAAAAATAACCAGATCTGTATGTTTTTTATATGTGCTTTTTTCATTCATGTTTCACTCATCGGAATACATCTTATCATTTGATAGTCCTGACGACACGTCAAAATTTTAGATCTCTCACAAATGTGCCAATGAAGCTACAGGTCATCAGTCTTGTTTGAACACTGTAGCCTTAAGATTTTTTCAAATTGTTGTAACAGCAGTTTTGTTTTATTCAAATGTAAACACATTTATAAACTGGTTGCTCTAAAGACCAAAACAGTACTGGTTAATCGACTATTGAATGAACTAATTAGTTAGAAATATATTGCATTGGGTTGTGGGAAATTAAAACTTTTTCTAAATGTTTTTGTTGACTGACTGTTTTTTGCTGTTTATTTCTGCCTGGAAGGCTGTTGGCTTACTGCATTTCTCCATCTGTGGTCCAAGCTAAATTGCATCCATTAATAATAAGCCTAACCCACTAGTGAGTAACTCATACAGTAATACTTCATGTCAAAAAATCTGAACTATCCCTTTAAGGCAAGGGTTGTATTTTAACAAACAATAATTCTGACTGAGTACTCAAACATTTAAGTTTTGTAATCTTTTTCAGAAATAAATGTGAAAATGAAATATTTAGAAGGGGATAATTAGTTTAGAGTACAGGCCACCAGAGGGCAAAAGAACACTTCAAAAGTATGGCTACTCACACCACTGACATCTGCACTTCTCGATCCCTTCCTGTTTTGGATGACTGTGTAACCTCTTGTCATATTTTATCATATAGCTACATGGGAAAACAGGTTGACAGCTTGTGCACACAGTAAATAAAGTGAAGATTGGATTAAAATCCAGTTGCAGTGGATGTTGCTGTAAAGGAAAAATAAAACAACCATAAAGACCTAACTTATTGTTTAGTTGAATATCAGGCCTTTGAAACAGGTTTCCAGTGCTTCACTGGAAAAGGAGGGGAAGGTTACTACTAGTTCAAGGCAGGTCCTGCAATAGCTGCTACTTTCAGGAGATTAGCAGATGTTTGTGCACAAGGTGCTGGTGATAAATTGTTTCCTGGCTCATGCAGATGCTGGGAGGTGGGCGTCCTTCCTGCATCATAACCAAAACTGTTATCCATGTGTTTTGGCTGTGTCAATGGGTCACATTTGTTTTGAACTTGTGCTGTGAATAAAGTTTAATGTGTGACAGGCAGGTGGAGGGAGCATCATTGTGGTTTGTCTTTATATATATTTTCTTTATGTTCCATTTGGACATACAGCTGGGATGCAAAAACTAAGTTGAGACCTATAGTCAATGCTACAATGATGTCCCATTTATTGGACCTTACAATGCAATATTCACATTACATGCCTGTTGTTGTACTGTACTGCCACATTTGGTGAGTCATAATGTTTGTCATGTCATGTTTGACAAAAAATCTCATACTTACACAGACACATATACACAATTAACATCCAAAAACAACCACACCAATGTATACATTGACATACACATGTAGGAGGAAGATTGCAACTGGTACTGTTGAATCTATAAGCGCATCTTGCATAAACACATCTTCACCTTGTGATGTGGACTAGACAGAACATACAGTATAAATACAACCATGCTGACTCATGGGTTGCATGTGGTGGGTGTCAAACTCCTCAGTTAAACTACAGCAAAGAGTCACGGGCTATTGTTGTTTACATAGTGGCCCCATTTAATTTGCCATTGGGATCTTTTTTTTTTTTTTTAACTTGTCACTGCATGTAAACACTTCTGTGTTTGGAAAACAGAGTCCCCCGTAAGGTGTAGGAAGGGCAGCGTGGGCTTCCTTTAGAGGACTGTGCAAACAAATGAGTCACTATGTTCAGACAGCTCAGAAGCACATCCCTCTCCTGGCCACATCTGTTCACTTCTTACTGATCATAATAAAGACCCTAAACTGGACCAGATAAAGTAAAACAACTTTTTCAAGCACATTCAATAAAGACTTTTTATATCTAAGTCGAATGGTTGTCCCAACAAGAGAATTAGTTCTTCTTATTGTCCTTGTTCTTATCAATAGTAGTAGTGGTACCCTTATACTGTTTGTGTTTCCCTCTGCGAAGGTGGCTATGTTTTCGTGTACAAATTACGTAAAATAAGAGTAACCATTTCTATCTCTCAATCTCTCTTCCCTCCTTTCTCTGTGGCTAATTTATGATTACCATAATCATTTGAAAGCCCATTTGAAGCCTACGTTTACAGAACAATGTAGTCAGGAAGACGTGGGTCCTCACCTAATGAGTGAAACTTTCAGGTCAACAAGTTATCCTCTGACGCAGATTATGGAGAGGCGGGTGACAAAGGGTCAAAATCCATTGTTACGTTCTAAAACGGATGCTGCTGATTAACACTGGCCCACACCTACACTGGTTTTTACAATTGTCCAGCAACTGCCCACTCAGCTGATGTGGCATTAGAGGGACTGCAGACCAGAAAAAAAAAAACATTGTAATAATAACAACTTCCTCATAATCATCAATTATATTTCAGGCCAAATGGACACATCAGTTGCATATTTATTGATCATAGTTTGTGTGACACATCATTGCACTGAGTGAACTACAAGTCTAAAACATTTAGTTTTGTCGATATTTGTACTTGATGTGTCAGAACATTCAAAAGATTTAACCCTGCTTCACTGCACATATAAGGAGGTGGGAACTGAGTCACATTGTTGTGAGGACCCTTGCTGGAAAACACTTTTCAGTATCAGGGCATTCAGTCTTTTTTTACACACCAAGACTGGATAATGAGAAATATTGACAAAGATGAACTTCTGATAATGCCTCAAGCTAAACATCTGCTAAAAAATTTACATATGCAACAAAAATCACATTAGTGAAGTTTATTGCACACTCACAAGACAGGTATCTAGTCTTAGGAAAATATAGGGGAACCCCCACAGACATAAAAGCACAAAATGTCAACGCAAAATTTATTAAAGAAGCAGCTATGTTTAGTCAAACCTTTTTCAGTCAATGGATCTACTGTAAAAATACGTAAGTTATTTATTTCTTAAGGATTTAAACAAAACATGGCAAACTATGTGCAACATATCTTAGTGCATCATTAGTTAGTATATATATAACTTAGTGTATTTACACTGCCCCTTTATAGAATCAGCATTGTGGAATTATTCACTATACACTCAGTTATCGGTTTATTAGGAACACCTAGCTAAAACTAATGGAGTCTGCAATAACTCCTACCTTCATGAAGGTTATAATGTTTGTTTTTTGTTGAAACTATGTGAAAGAAGTGTTGATTAAACTGTGCTATCATTTGACGGATGTAGTTTGTGGTGTGTGCTGTTGATTGGAAGGTGGGATTCACTGCAGCCTTGTTGTATTAGCCTGCTCGGCTTACAACTGAGTGTACATACAAAAACAAGTTGATGTAGTTCCTTTATAAAGTATATACAAACCACCAGGTGGCAATGTGTGACAGTGTTGGGTTCCTCATGACTCAGCTTTAGCGTTTTCCATGTCATCTCTGCTCCAAACACCTCCCTCAGTCAGTTTGCAACAATGACTATAAGAACACCATCCGCCTGTTGTGTTGATATTCTTGGGTGAATCACGTAAAACTCCAACATGTGCAATGACACAGATTCATGTGTGTTTATAAGTACAGTATTTATCGCCACCCGCGGCTCAATAAACAGTAAGCAGCTGCAGGGTAAGTCCTACAGAGTCAACAAACCTTTCTGAGGGACTTAGCCATTTCGAAGTTTATATTACTGATGAGTAATATAAACATGATGTTGTACTTTCTTTAGGATAGTGCAATTTCCATAAAATCCTGGAAAATTGATTGCACATATCTACTTTTTTATTACACTATGACATATAGTGGCTGGAGATGCATGTAAAAAAAAACTGGCAGCTGCAAAGTAAATTCAGCTTAAGCAACAATCCTGCACAATCTCTGTGAGAATAAATCCAGTTTTAGGTTTACATTGTTGATGAGCAACAAATACAAGCTGCTAAGGGGAATGGGAATTTCAGTAAATGCTTGAGAGCTACTGCAATGCATCTAGCCAACAAAGGAAGACTGATGGATAGGGATTTTGCATGACAAGTCTATGCAACATTTGCAGCATTAAATCACACCACCAAAACATTAGCAGATCTTAGCAGTACAAGTCACAGCACATACATCAGCAAACAGCACATTGCAGTAAAACAGTCTGTTAGAAATGAAGGTAAGTCAGGGCATGTTTAAAGTTAGCTCTTTGTTGCACACACTCCCCACACTGACCTCCAACATTAGCGTGTTTACTGTAAGATACTGTGAGAAGAAGGAAATCCTATCGCACAATAAATTATTGTGTGTTTCATAACATCCTTGACACACTGTAATCCTTTAGCAAATAT